TAATCTCTTGTCGGGCCAAGCACATGGCGATTAAAATACCGCAACTGTAAATGACTTGGATTTGATTGATTTCTTTCATCTTGATTGGTTTTGCAATTAATATAAAGTGCTCTAGAAATGGAATATGTTGTATGACTTTATTGAAAGTGAACGTAGTCGTGGCTGGCAACAGCTTCCAGTTTTTTCCATCAGTAATATATATGCTTTGATGGATCAGTGTCACTATACTTTAACAAGCGATGTTACAAAATTGGTATCACGAATTATTTTTAAACAATTTTGATCATCTTCATGACATAGTAGGTTACCATAGGAATGATGCAAGCAGTGAAAAACACTCTTAATTTTAACTTGCGCTCATAATTCGAAAGCGGCTCAGTGAAACCTATCAGTTTGTGATAAGCATGTAATGTCAATAGAAATTTTCACAAGATTTCTAGCAAAGTTCTGAGCCATTTCAAATTTTCGAAAATTTATGGTGGCTCTGAATCCTCCCTACAGAATTGTTTCAAGCTTTGCAAAAAGTTGTATTCTTAAAACATGCATTTCATTGAGCCATTTTGCCATAACACCAAAGCTTATGCAGTTATCAAGTGGAAAAAAAAACACAAATGTAGAAATTTGCTAATATACAGCCATCTTTTGACCTCACAGTTTCAAGTTCAACAAGCCATAATTCAACCTGCCAAACATTTACCGTAAATCCCCAAATTAGCGCCTGGGGTGCTTAATTCAATTTTAGGAGAAGACAGGGGGGGCTTATTTAATTTTTCCCAAATCGGGGGGGCTGACATGATCATTTTTTTAAATACATCATCTACACATAAACAACAACATAAGCTGTTTATTGACATAAAAAGCTGATCCTAAAGTCTAAATCGCGGCACCATTGATACTTAACGTGTTCAACGTGTTCACAAACTGAAACAATGTACAAATCTGCTAGGCTCTACATGATGAAAACTATACATCCTTTCTTGTCTCATTAATCGCCCACAAAATGGGGAGGAGGGGGCGCTTATTCGAGGGGGGACGCTTATTTTAAATTTCGGCCAATGGGAGGGGCGCTTATTCGAAGGGGGCACTTATTCGAGCGGGGTGCTAATTCGAGGATTACGGTAATACGCGTTCAGCCACGAAACCATCCCAGCTATCAAAATAAATTATGTTAGTGAGTGCTACATGTAGTTGTAACCTTTAAGTATAGAAAATAGCCTTTTATAACTCGCATATCAATCTTGAACCTGCATTATTACAATTTCTTGCGATTATTTCCCTACAGTCGACTCACCTCCTTTCATACATGTCACCGCCCGCTTCAATGAAGAAACTATACAAACTGACTGGGCTGAAATAAAAACAACAATTATTGAAAATACTGGGACGGTAATTCTCAAAAGCCACTCTCTACTTCTCAGTAAAAGATTACAACATTGAACAAGCAAGTAAAACTTATATCGATGTTTCCAGGTTGGTTAAATCGTTTTGTGTATTATAACTGATTCACTTCCGGCATCACAATTAGTGATGCCGGAAGTGAATCAATTAAAATTTACATGGACATAAGTACTTTGAATACCTTTCCTTCTGATCTCAAACTCCCTCACTTTCTTCAATAGCGATGGTTTCTTCATCTGTGTCAGTATTTCCTTCAAAGTGTCCAAGCGATCAATTCCAAGGCTATTATTCCTTTCCAGTTCTTCGAATAACGTGAGTACATCTCCAATGTTACGTTCGCTGCCTTTCGCTATTTCTTCCCTGCACATGAAAAGCAATCTTGGCAGCTTGTTCACGTCTAGTTTCTCACTGATCTCAAAGAGAAGATCACTATACTCGCTTTTTGACATCCTACCGAAACGACGAGGTCCGTAAAATGGAAGAAGTGCGTTTAACTCATAATTGCAAATCCAACATGGCGGGCATAGACAGAGCAGAAAACATTGCGTGACAAAAAGCTTCCCATCTCACGAAATGTCACGCGTTTACTCTCTCAACCTCGTTCCCAGGGTCCTGTCTCTTCCCCCGAAGAGAGAGGTCCCTGGGAACGAGGTTGTTGCTCCCTTAGCTTATTTGACGTGCCTTGCTATCCTGTAGAGGAATAACTGGATGTTAGGCCCATCAAACATGATTTCTCTGATTGCAATGGCCAGTTCTATCAAGAGAACGTGTATTTTGTCTCCTGTCCTAAACAGGGTCCTAAGAGAGAGGGAGGGCGTCGCCCTACATAGGGTGGGGCTTTTGAAGTATTTTAAAATATACTTAAGGTGGTATGGTACCCTCAATATGGACCAAAAAGTTTGTTTAAATATGTTAAAGAAAGATCAATTGTGTGCTATTGCAGTCAAGAAGAGAAATTAAATTTCTAGAGTTTTACTCAAAATGGTTGCTATAGAAACCAGCCACAGCCTTTTGAAGTAGTGTTATATAGTATTGACGCCAACACTTCCTGCTCNTTTTACAAAACAAGAATTGACTGTCAAATAAGCATATCATGTAAGTTTCTGTTTTGTTCTGTGATATGAACGTAAGTTTTGACAGTTAACTCTTATTTTCAGTGCTTTTTACAGCTTTATTTGGGAATAACCTTATTTTTTACCACACCCAGTGGACAAATCATCTCATGTCACGTGACAGACCTTAAAATGTTA